ACAAGTACAAACAGAAATTTCACTTAAACACAATTCCACTATTTTTCATTAAAATATAACACAGAGTTACACATTTGAGACGCATTTCAAACTTTTTAAATTAGATCATTTGGTGCCGGTATTGAAGAATTGCCAAACCTTTAGAATAAATAAAACTTAAAAAAACTACTCGATTCCGGAGAATGTATTATCTTTCGAAAATTAAATAACAATGTATCTCTATCTCCGAATTTCGTGTGCATATTAAGCTTCAATACACGACACCTTAAAATGCATCTGGCACGTGTTTTTGTCTGCTAAACAAATACACGATGAAAGATAGCTAATTTCGAAAACAGAATAAATAACTACACTAACTTACCGTTCAATCTTCAGTTACGTAACCGCGTAGCGTGTCTGACACTGTCACTTATCATCCGTCAGCTGTACATTGCGACACCCTGTAAAAAAAAATCTTCATTTACATCTGTAATTACCGAAGACACCAAAAATTTTAACACACGTCCTTCTTCCTAGACGAAATTCAAAATTTCCTTTGCACGTAGTACACTAATTAAAACAGCCAATGTCAGACTACAACCTTGAAAAAGGAACGTAACCTTCGCTGTCTCGTCCCAACAACGCACAAACATGCCGTGCAGTTTAGACGTTTTTGTTGTTATTTCTCAGACTGTTTGTCAACATTGCGTACAACTGCTATTATAAGAAAGGTCCTACGTTTTTGTCATCTACATCCGAAGACTATGAGCACAACACGCGCCAAGAGCAAGGATTTCTCCACTCCTATAAGGTTAGATGAAGAGAAAACTGGTTTGACAGCACAGTTTCACAGAATCAGCGGCACTAAACACACATGGAAGTACTTATATGTCACTGTCAGGGAATCTCCGACGGAGGGGGGGAGGACACAGAATGGCCTATCGACTCGTACGATTTAAAAAAAATCTGTGACTTCCGCATACAACACCACACTTTTCCCCCACTCGCAACGTTTACTGAGCTGCAATATCCAATATATGCACACACAGGCGCAAAGCTGGAAGCTCGATCAGCGTAACACTAGCTGCGATGTGAGTAGTTACAACTTGGATCTCGCTCTCACCCAGCCAGCCATGCAGCCCATTCCCCGACTAACCCAAACGTATGACCGGCTCTACGCCAGCAAACCCTCCTACCAACACACACACACACACACAATTTCTCATCTGCTTGTGCGACTTTCCAGCACCATTACACAATACCCGGATCCCTCATGATACGGTCACATCTTCCAGCAGCTCGTCCCAGGGTACAAACTGCTCGGGACCAGATGATCGGAATTACATGCGCAACCAGGGATAGAAGAGGAAGAGAGAGAGAACACGAAAGAAGGCATGCAAGCCCCCGATATAATTTGGCACAGGTTAAAAATATCATTCATACATGCACTTATCCGACTTGAGGACATTATAGAAGGTTGTGTTCGTACACTGTTGTAGGTAATGAGTTTCTCCAAATTTACAGTAGTCGCGTCCAAATCTTGCGTTTCGTCTACGGGTGTAAGAAAAAAAACACCTGCCCTACAATGTACCTTTTAACCTGCAATCAGCTCAGTTGTTGACAATTCGGATATCACCCACTGCATTCTTTAAACATGTCAGTCAGCATTAATCTCATGCACCGTTAATCCATTTGTAGATCTGGAATATTGTTTCTAAATCCTTTGTTTCTAATTTCAACTGCAAGTCCTTAGTGTGATGGGCCCTTTGACCAAGAACAACAGGTTTAAAAATGCACTCAGCAAAATCAACTGCACAGGATCTCTTAAATCTATTGTGGCCTATCCCAGGTCCTTAACCTTCAGAATGTCTTTGTCAGTTTTGTTGTTTGCTAAGGTTTTGTTTAGTTACTATGTAGTATTGTGATGTGATTCTGAGAAGAGCAGCCTCCATGGCCACATGCAACCACAATTACCCAGTGTGGCCACCTGCATTCTTCATCAATAATTTTAAAAAATGTCAGAAGTAACTAGATTTCAGGTGTTAACAAATTTAATTCACGATTTAGGCTTTCTTTCTGCATGCCATGACTAGACTACTCAATCAGTGCTCTAACATTTTTCCAACATTCAGTGACTGAACCTACTTACAAACATTCTGAATACACACATTAAATATTACTTAAAAAATCAATGAAAAATTTTCTAGAAGACGAATAACTTCTGGATTGTTGCAAGATGTAGTCTAGTAGAACTTTACTATGTTTCAGAGGTGCTTGCTGTCTTCATTATTGTGAAGATGGAGGCAGAAAGCACATCTGAATGTCAGCAAAACTTCTACCAGACTACTACAAGGGGGCAACAACCCAGATGACAGCCAGCTCTGTACCTACTGTCATGAGAACCCCAAATTTCACGAACGTTTCCCCTGATATTGTCTGATACTGAGAATTGTGTAATTCTGAGAAGTTAATATAACTATTAAAACTACATAAATGTGTTGCATTTTATAAAAATAATGATTTTGTTAAATGTATAGAATAGAGATAATGTACATATCTAAAAATTATATAAATACATGTCTTTACTTTAGTATTAAGTCCTGGAAGAATGGAAACCTTGATACTTTGTATTGATCAAGTGAGATTTTAGTAATATTAGAATATAAAAATAATTAAACTTTCAGATTGCGCTGTTCTGGGTTCTGATAGCATTCTTTTAAGTGGTTCAGATTAGACTTTAGAAAATGTTGAACACTTAGATGCAGGCACAACCTTCCCACACACGTTCTCAGTCCACGCATTTAGTACAAAGAGCACATTAACAAATGCAAATATTACCAGTGTGTGGCAAACTGCCAGTCAAGTCATATATGTCGTGCATTTCTCTCTCTGCCTTTATGTACTGTACATGCCTTGCTGTGTGTGCTTTTTAGAGATGATACGTCACAATTTTGATGCCTACTGACATTCTTACAATGTCTGTCAATGTGATCCAAAAACAGATCAAAGGTTTTTATTCAGTCAGATCTCAAATATTGAAACTAATATCAGTTCAAAAAATCTTTCGTAATTGTAGGCAGGCAGCTACGGTTTCCAAACGATATAAGTAAGTGGGAAACAAAATGTTACATGACAGCACTTAGTATCAAGAAATAGCAAATAAATCAACAAAAGGTATTTCCATTACTGTGAACCTCCGTCGCCTGCATATAAGCACAAATAACACTGACTGCCTATGAAATGAAGTGTCCTTGCTTGGAGAAAAGATAATCACTTCGTGGATCTAATTTCTTCCACACAGAAACTATTCCTCTTGAAGGTGTAATGATAATGGCTTGTAAGATGGTTGGTTACTGCTGAAAATTTACATAATGACCACTGACACACTTTAATATTCAAACACATATATATGTGGAATGTATTTAATATTTGTTTGGAGAAGCATGCCATGAATTAATATTTGTTTAGCAGAGCAAGACAGGAAGTACTTTCTACTGGAGGGCATCTACCAACCATTACTTTGTGTTATGACTGAACTATTTAACTTTCCGATAAAGAATTGTCCCTGAAAATTGACAGTTACTAAGATGTCAAAAAATAATCCTCTTCTCATGAAATCTGAAGTTCCATCACTGTGAACACAAAAACCTGCCAATGGCCCCTATCATGAGCTTGCTGAATCCAAGCCCTGTTTTTCTAAGATGTATTTTAATATTATTTTTCCATTTATTTTTATATCTTCTAAGTTGTATTTTCCCTTGAAATGTTCTGGTCACAATTTTGCCTATGTGTGCCACATATACCACAACTGCACAGATTTGAAATAATAATTTGCCACATAAATACGGGAGAAAAAATTTCCCTGCCCTTGAACCTCTGCTTTAAAGAAAAAATTTGAATCAATGGAGTAATAAACATAAAATTTGTAAACAATTAACACAAAAACCATTAGGTTAAGACAGACTCATGCCAAAATACTATAGCATTTCTGACAACCAAGGGCATACAGACAGATCAGTAGAAGAAAAAAATTACAACAAAAATCCTCATAAAAATAATCAAACTCTTCACATCAACATAAATAGCAGAGCACCTGCAAGACAACCTTCAGTGGCCTCACAGACCAACAGTCATGGTTTTATCTCAGCACAAAATCCTGTAACCATGTTAATGCTGAGTATATTGTTCCCATCCATTCTTCTCGTTTTTCCTTCTCATGACCTTAACAAGCAGGAAATGTGACATACTCAGTCCACAATTAGACATATCGAGCTCACTTCAGTTGAAGTGAGCTTGATATATATATATATATATATATATAAGTATGCTGTCAGACCTTCATTTAAATAGGAGCTGTCTGATATATACGGCACATCATGAATTTTTGTATTGCAATTCATAAAGCTCACATTCTGGGCTTCCCACAGGCAATACACAATACATTGTATAGACATTTTTTCAGAACACATAGAAATGAAAATAAATTAAGAAGCTTTACAGTTAATACACAGCCATGCTTTCACACATGAAATTCTACATAGCCTTACTGGCTTATGTTCTGTCACCTGAACACAGTCAACACCCTCCTAAACCTCCTATGGGGCACTATTAAAAAAACTAGGGTCACCCACTTGCCACCAGTAAGTTAACGGAGACCAGGAACAAGTATAAAAATATTGATAATCTGTGGCAAGTGAATTGTCTTAAGAGGCTATCAGATGTAAGTTGTATTTCTGGAGCCCTGCTCCAGAATATTGAAAATTAACCGAAGTTCAACAGGAATTATACAAAATGTAATTTATGTTATTCCTCAAAAGTTGTACATGCTAAAAACCAGCAGTTACAGACACATTGAGGAACCATCTGCATTTGTATATTTGGACTACATCTTTGAAGATGTAAGTAAAGTTTAAACTAAACCATGTTAAATATTATGCTGAGATTGGGCACAAGCCAAACAGTATGTAATGAAAAGTAAAGGTAGTGATACAATCCTGAAGTCGAATCATTATAAAAATTTTAATTTGAGCAACTGTGCCCCACTAATACATCAATGTTTTTTAGGTTTAATTACAAGTACATAATGGCAGTATAACAACAGACTATTTGTGCAGTTACATTACTGAATTTCATAATTTCTTACTCATGACACACACACACACATGCCAAAACAAGCCTCCAAGCCCCTCTATCAGGCCATAGACAAACCAACCAGACATTAGCTCGAAGAAGCCATAAGGATATAATACTAGCAACTGGTTATTCATGACACTACCAATCACTATTTCCATACAACCTAAACATTTACGCCAAACTGATGGAATAAAAATTTTCAAACTGTCCCGTGAGTGTTAAAATTAGAAATTAAACATATTACCAAACTATTAATTATAAGCTGCAGGAACTCTACATACACAAGCACACATCACAAATATTTATGGGATAAACACGTAGGACAATTTGAGAAAGTTATAGTGAATTCCTCCAGAACTCGGCTTCTGACTTCTCCACACATACACCTATTCTATGAGTTAATTTTGAAGTCTTATAACCAAAATTATTTTAAAAATTGTTATAATATGATGAAATTATGATGCTGTTTTATTTAGTAAACAAGAGTCAATCCAAATTCGGTGACACATTAGACAGGTATGAAAAGTCTTTATTAAATGTATTTCTTCTTTCCAAATCCTTTGCAATTCAACTACATTAAGTACAGACATGTGGGAAGGTGGAGTCAACATCTAGTTCTCACGTGTTCATACATGCCATGCCAGAGATTCATATTTAACAATTACATGAATAAGATAACACAGAGTAAGGTGTAAAACATCAGGAATAAGCAACCATATGGGAGTAATAAACAGTCATCCTTCTTCTAACAAAATGTAAGGATGTGTAAATGGCATATGGCACGACTTCAGAATTACTAAGAATGTTACATTGTTCTGTGGAAAACAATTCTAGCATGAATTACCAATGTCATAAAAATCTACCCCACCATGCCAACAAGTTTCTCAAAACTATAATTCCACTATTTTCGTACAGTTAGGCATTTCTGATGATGCACTTCACTTCTAAAAACGGAGGCCGAACCCGAAGGCTTTATAGTAAAATGTTGTTTCTGACACACTACACCCCATCACCGTAACAAAATTGCAAACTAAAAAGCACTACATACATCATGAGGCATGTAGTTATGTTCTAGGTTATCACAGCCAACAGAATGAACTATATACATTGTATTACGATGAAATGTTTCAGAACATTAGCATCAATAAACACATGATCTGTGACATACAATATAACCACAAACATCGTACCACCACATTAGATATAACAAGTTAACTTGTTGGACATCATAACAGCAGATATAGTCTTATTTTAAGGACCTACCTTCTATATTATTCTGAACACATATTAGTAGTAATAAGAATATCCATATTAATACTGTCACAAATAAATGTAGCAAACAGTTTGCATTATAAAAACAACTTGGAAACAATCTCAACCTATACGTCACGTCTCACAATCAGCCATTTTACATTTCACATATCCGATTTTAAAGTCAGAAGAGATACCATTAATTTGCAATAAAACGTTTGCATATAAATGTACTTCATCTGATATTTTAAAATTTAAGATAATTATTATCGTTTCAATTAATGTAATTTTAGAGTTCTTGATTGAATTTCACAATTGACAACTGTCATCGACGAAGACTTGTAAAATTGCGATTTCGTGTTCCTTGCACGGTTCATAATTCTTAAACTAATAAATACATTTAAGAGATGCAGTGTTCAAGGTCATTCTTCTTGAATAATTTGTGAAAAACTTGAGTTAATCTATAAATAAAATTGCTGTAACTAACTATATATTAACCTTCAGTTGGCATGTAATACCATTTGTTCTCTTCGGATTTAAATGCTTTCTCAGTCTCATTTAATTATTACGACTGAAATAATGGTCTGTCTTGCACTGGATCATTGCCTAGCCCATGCACAGTATTCATAAGGAAGTGTGAATTTTGGGGGGTTTCTGAAATGTATTCATGGGTATGCTAAACTAAGGTTTACAGTCCTCTGGTATACCATTTTCATATTTTAACGTGGTAGTCATTGAGCCATACGGATTACTATCTGCTTTAAATTTCTTCTTTATCAAGTCACGGATTACGTCTTATGACCTGTTCTGAGTTTATATTTACTCCATAACTTGACTGTGATTAAACAGAACTTCCAGAATTTGATCAATTTAGGCCCTCATTACATGACAGACAAAATGGTGCCCCACATAAGATTCAAACCCCCCTACCCCCAGTCTTTGTTGCTGATAAGTACAGTGAGATAGGAGAACATTTTATGAGGGCCATGTTTCTTTTAGTTATGGCTCAACTTGTGCCAAATGTCTAACTTTTTCATGTTTCTGTTTATTCCAGCTTTTTAGTATACTCATATTGAGAATAGTGTGGCCTGCTGGCAGGATATGATCTTTGAGACTAAATTGATTGACCCACAAATAAATTTTACAAGATCATTCAAATAACTCTCCAGATGTATTAATCTTAATTTGTTATATGCTGTCAACATCCTTGTCCCAAGCCCACAAAAAAATTTGTAAACTCCAGTTTGGTCCCCTCATCAAAGACTGGTTAACATATGCCATAATCTAAGAGTTAACATTCTCTGATATCAGGAAAAATTTAGTTTTGATTTGTAAGTCTGTGGATTCCTTAAAGAATGTATGTACTTCACAGAAGTCCAGATAAAAATCACTGGTTTAGATTTTGGTTCTGTAACTGAGCATTATGAGCTGGGATAGTTCAGTCAGTATCATGACTAGCTACAGGCTGGACGACTGGGGTTCGATCCCCAATGGGGACAGGATTTTTTGTCTAGCCTCTGCATTCAGACCAGCTCTGGGGCCCACCCAGCCTCCTGTCAAATGGTTACCAGGGTCCTTTCCCATAAGTAAAGCATGGCCAGGGCGTGATGCTGACCACTCACCACCATCTAGTGCCGAGGTCAAGAAAGAGTAGGAGCTATACCTCCACCTACATAGGCGTGTAGCAGGACATAAAAAACTGAACATTAGCAAGGGAGCATGTTAGTAGGTTGTTCATCAAAAACATTCCAGACTAACTGAATTAACCAAAGCTCTCCACCAGTCCCTTTCCTATCTCCCATAGATCCCACCTGATATTTTCATCTCACTCACCACTTATCACTCATTTCTTCAACCTTGTGGATCAAGTGATGCTTGTAACCCGTGCTGTTACCAATTTTCAGGTGTTCACATTTGATGTCCATCAGTAATGAACATATAGCTGATATGCATCTGGGATACTCTGTCACAGTCAAACAACTGAACTGCTCTTCTTGTAATAATTGTTGGTAATAATGTGGATTTACTGCAATACCATTATACTTATACAGTTCTGTCAGTGCTTTTCTTCTAGAAATAAAGATACCAATACAGAGATGTAACTCAGGGAGGAAGTGATATGTTTATGTCTTTTGACAGAAATAAACATTTTAACTATGAAAAACATATTATTTTTACAAAACTGGACAATAAAAAGTAACATCCTTTATACACAGTTGATAAAGGAATTACATGTTTATTGTTATTTTATAAAGTAGGGCCAAAATGATGTACCACTGGAAAAAATGTCACTCAAACATTTATTTTATGTAACTAGTATAGTGGCAGATTATCTTGATTTTTTGAGTTACTTATCATAGAAAATAATAGATATTCAGTTGTGATGAATTGAAACACATTACAACTATGATTCCAGTAATTGTGTTTTTAAGAAAAGACATGATTTATAAAAAATTAAAAGGAAAGCAATTTTTAGAACACTCAAAAGTGGTCATTCATAGATCATACAACAATTTAAGAACAATGATTAGAATATGTTATGATGCATGTTGACAGGTGTAGCCCTGGGCTTCAATGATACATGGTGTACACCCCAAGATATCTTAGCAGATGAGAGAGAAAGAAATGGGTGGTTTGAAGTAAGTCATACTGAAAGTCTGATAATTTTTGTACAGTTTATAACATTACATAAATATGCTACTGGTTATCTAGTTATACAACAGAGAAAGAAATTCTGAAAGAGACATGTTTCAAAGGTTTTAGATATATAATGCAGGTTTTATATATTTGTGTGATGATGATGATACAAAATTAAACACTGGAACTACTTAATATAGACCCCTACAATTTGGTGTCATGAAAAATGAACACATGCAATTTCTGGGTTGCAGCATCACGTAGTCAACATTTCTCAACATTTCAAAGGTCCTTCCTGCCTTCATCATTAGGACAATGAGGCAGCATAGACCTCTGAAACATTTGTAATCTTCTACCAGTCTATGCAGTGCTACAACCCATTAATTGCCATCTTCTGACTCACCACCATGATAACCTCAAATCCTACATGCGACTTTAGTTATGTTCAAATTTTTGTGCACTGTAAGGCATTAACAAGACACCCACATGAAATCAGTATTTATCTATTTGATAATGATACATATAAATCTGTATTATGCTTTTGTATGTGAACAATTAAAAATGCTGCCATGGTTAAAAACTTTGCATTGAACTGAGTGAAGTTCAGGAAATTTTGTGTCATCTACTTTAAAACAAAGACAGTATATATAATAAAATGATTGTATAAAAAGTAATTACAATTTATAGGTTTCAACTCCAAGAGACAGAGTGGTCTATTACACCTTGAGTCAAGTTATTTATCGTGAATTTGAAGTACCTGATGGAGAACAAGGAGAAGCAATTTTTGATCAACCTGATCCTACAGACATAATAATGGTTCTCTGGTTGAAGGGACAAGCCATTGGATTTTACACTATAAAACCAAAAGGTAATGTCAATAATACTCTTTTCACTTGATCTAATAAACACAGTTAAGTTCTTAAAATGTTATTACTTCTTTATTTATATGGGGTTTCTGGAAGACTGGGGTGCGATCCCCGTCAGGGGCAGGGAATTTTTCCTCTATCCTCTGTGTCCAGACTGGCTCTGGGGCCGACCCAGCATATCTAATGGATACTGGAGTCCTTTCCCAAGGGTAAAGCACGACCAGAGCATGATGTTGACCGCTCACCTGTATATAGTGCCAAGGTTAAGAATGTGTAGGAGCTCTACTTTCTCTCCCCCCAAGCTCCTACATGGCATTTGGTGGGACAGCTTTACTTCACTGTCAGTAGGTTATATATAGTGTTAAATGATATGATTACTGAGTAGTGAACTGGAAAGGATGTGAAAGGAAGTGATTATATCCTAATATAAGGTTCTGTACTAGCATTTGCCTGGAGGGACTGTTATTTAGGTATTTATTAGAAATAGTTTTCAAAATATGCACTAATTAATTAATTTCCTTGTGTTTTTGTTTGATATTTAGACTAGTGAGATCAAAAGCAGTAATCCAGAAATTTAGAAGACAAATCTCAAGTAAAATAACTCATATTTTGGTTTTATTACAGGGTCACTTGTGGAAGAAACAATGGAACATTATGCCATGCACACACTAGATACAGCATATGTTTGGAGTGTTAAAAGAAGGCAAGGATATGGCATGGGAATGTTACAAAACATTACAAGTTCCTATCCAGGGAAAGACATTGGTTTCAGCAAACCTATTTCTTTTTCAATGTGGAAAGGTAAAGTGATAATATTTAATATATAAATCAGCAATTCGTTAGTGTATCCATCACCTATGTTTATGAATCAAAATGTCTGGAGGAATTAGATTTAAGATGTTACCAAGTTTTGTTCCAGTCACAATTTCTTTTTCCATACCATAATGAACTCTACTATTTGTATGCATCCCATGACTGAAGTGCTGCACATTTTTAACATTTTGTAGTAACAATTATGTATTGAGAGACTTTAAATATCAGTGTAGGTTAGGTATAGTAGTATATCAGTTATAAGTACTAAATGGAACATAAAACACAGATTTCATGCTGTTGCTACAAACATTATTACTACACAACATACATGTACACATAATAATCTTTCATAAATAAGAAAAGCAGGGTAAAAATAATGAATTTTATCTTTAGCTAATGCAAACGAATTGTGTCTCATTTTTAAAATAAAATTTTGTTTTACTTTTTAAGTAAACTTGTACTTCTTTTCTGTTTTTATTAGTGTTGAGAAAATACCTACAACATAATGCTGACTATCGAAATAAATTCTGGGAGATAGAAGGTACTGGAGGTGAAGGGAATCAAAAGTTGATTTGGTATGCCATCAGATTACAAGACAAGGAGAAAGAAAGCAATACATAATTAAAGAAGTTTTATGTGTATAGTTAATTCATATTTAAAATTATAAATCTACAACAATGTAAAACAGTATCACACTTTCTCTTTAGATTGCCCAGATAACCTTGGATCAATAAAACAATTTCAACTTCCATTAATGTTCTGATTTTTGGCTGAATCATGTTTGGATATCAAAACTTGTTAACATTCTCAGAATGATACTCTTTAGTCTTGCGAACATTTCCCATGCTTTTTGTATATGTCTAGTGCTTTTTTATGTTTTTCTTTACCAGTTAAAAATTATATGGATTTTAATCACTTTATTGCAGTACCTCAATAAAAAAACTCAAAGCTGGCTCAGTTCAAGGACTGAGCCAATTTTTGTTGTAGCAAAAATTGTACACATGATGAATAGAAGAAAATCTGTATACATTTCTTAAATATTGCTTGCATTATTTTATAACTGTAAGATGTGTACCTATCTGCTGAGATTTTGTGTAATTTTTATTATTGTAAAATAAAAATGAGCAAATTATATCATTCAATGTACATTTCCTATGGATTTTAGTAAAGAAACAACCAATTATTATATCTAGATTGAGCAAGAGTTATTTTGCACTTACACTTGTTCTGTGTAATAATTATATTTTTGAAGAAGAAAAATATGAGCATTTACAAATTTTCTATAACTAGCCATTTTAGAACTTAACCTGACATTTTGAAAATCAGGACAGGAACCAGCCAACACTTTCAAAGATATACTACATACTATCCCATGTTTTATAAACCAAACTCTGAACTAATTGCAGTTCTAAGGAATTACAGAATGAAAATGATAGAGGACAATTTTGAAGTTTTAAATGCTCATTCTTCAAGGTTATTATGATATAGTCCAGGTTTTGTATATTCCAGGACAACACACAGAACCAGAAATAAGACAACAGTAACAATGATGAAACTGTGAAGGGAAAAAGACTTTACCCCTGGTAAAAAAAATTGACCACATGAGGCATGGTCAGCCCCAGAGCCAGTGTAGATGCAGAGGAAAAAGGCAAATCTCTTTTGCCTGTCAGAAATGAAATCCTAATCATCCGCCTTTAAAATCATTTATATTTTTAACTTTAATTTGAGAATGACACTTTTTGATATCACCAGTATATGTTTCATGGAAACAGATATTTTTCCATTCAAGGAACTTAAAACTTAGTCTTTGCTATTTTGTATTTATTCTTGGTTTATTTAATGAGCTGACCACTCACCTCCACCTAGTGCCAAGGTCAGGAAACAGTGGAGCTTATTTCCACTACCCCATGTCTACACAGCAACAAATTATAGGATAAATGAATAATGAATTGTAAAGGAAATGGAAGGAAGTAGTCATGGCCTGCTATAAGGTACTATCCTAGCATTTGTCTGGGAGGACAGGGAAATTATGAAAAAAACAGTCAGTCAGCCAGTCTTCAAGGCAAAATTTAAATCCAGGATCTAGATACAAA